TTTGCTCCTCTGGTGAAACCTCAGCTTCTTCATTCTTTTTACGAAATCTATCTATCAGCGATATGTTTCCTATTGTAGATTTCAGGTACCTATTTAAGAAATGATTTATAACTATATATTTAATATTCTATATTTTTTATTTCAATATAATGTTTCAATAATTATTAATATATACCAATTTGGTGGCTTCAATTTAAACATGCATTCGGCAGCTTGAATAGCTTTCGAATAATCTTCGGCAAGCACACTAATCTCAAAAAAAGTTGCTACATCCCAGTAATCTTTCAAGCTTGATAAACTACCTTTCTTGCCAATTAGATTATTTAATACCATGCCTATATGTTGTAATTCCTCACTTTTAGAAAATTCGTTTCCTGCTATAACGAGTAATGTAGCGAGATTAATTCCTGCATATTCATTTGGTTGAACCTGAATATGTAAATTGAAAAAGTTAAAAAAAATTTTAACTCATATGTTTATTGTATTACAAAAAGTAGGAAAGATAAAATACCTCAAAACCTTTTCTATACCAATGAATCGCATTTTTTAAGCTTTCTTTATCAGTATGTCTGCTTTCTACAAATTTATCTTTATATATTCTTCCACATAAACATAACATATCAGGAACATGATTTTCTTTCTTCTCTAAAGCCTTTTCTATAACCTTCAATGCTCTTTCTCTATCACCTTCTTTATTTCGTCGATTTAATGCAAATGCATATAGATTCCGAATAGCCGGAGTATTGATATAATTTTTATGAGTCGGTATTGTTCTTAGATCATCAACTAATTGTACCATTGCATCATAATCCTACGCATCCATAAATTTAATTAATGAAGAAATATTTTTTAACAATAATCATTAATATATTACCTGTATCTCACGGAAGGAAATCAAAACGTTTAGAACAACTTCTCCAGATAAAACGTTTGGATCATCTAAACGTTTACGCATATTGTTCAATGCTTTCGAAAGTTCTTCTCCCGAAAATGTTTCGCGCGCTTTTCGTAAATCAGCTAAGAATTTTTCTTTCATGTGCGCTCTATAAAAAATTACATAATACTTTTATAAAAACTTATTTGATTATTATGAATGATATATTGTTGCAATAAGTTCAAGTTCATTATATATCTTCTAATAAGATTTTCAAACTATACAATAAATTTAGTTCAATTCTATGTACAAAATGATAAGATAAGAAAATATTTACTTCTTTACCATGACATAATTAGAACAAAAACAATATTTCCATTTCTTATCTATAGTAAGATCATATCATAACAAAACAGTGAAAAATCAAAACATACTTAGATTGTACTTCTACATCTTGAAATAACTTTTTAAGCTTTAACGTAAGATGTTGTTTTGGATCTATTACTTCTTCTCCAGTAATTCTAGTAGTAGCTGGATTTGTTGCCACACATGAACCACATTCCACCACACGATAGGAAACAAATGTATAGTTACCACATGATAACTGCATACATTATAAAAGTTTTATGTTAGATAATTTTTAATTATAATATATTAATATATTATAGAATAATATAAATATACCTTAATTCTAATTGTTGTTTCTGTATCTATATCATTATGTAACAAAATATTTTCTTTCATACCAAAACTTTCTCTAACACCAAGATGATAAAACAAAGCAGATTGCTGCAACTGAATACTTAAGTCTACAACAGCTACATCTGCATTATAAAATGTATCAAGTACATTTGTTTCTCCAAAATCCAATTTTTCAAACTAAAAAAATAACAATCAAGTCAACATTTAGATTTAAAAATCATATCTTTTAATAACAAAAAATATTATTACCTGAATATGATGTATATTAGCATTAACTAGATTGCATGCTTGTCTAACTTCTTCTAAGGCTCTTCTTCTCTGAGCCAAATGTTCTGGCTGTTGTAGATCCAAAACACAAGCTACATCCATTCTAGGTCTACCAGAAATGGTTGTATGTCCAGAAATATCACTATGTGTTCCAATACTGTCCGTACTAGAGATACCTTCCGCGGTTGTTAATTGTGCAGCTATTGTAAAATATTATATAGAATGATTAACAATTTCAAATCTTTTTTTGACAAATTAGATATAGCAAGAAATTACCAGTCATGTCTATTGTATCGCCACAAATGGATGGCATGTTGCACAATTACTAGGTGGAAATAATATTTTTAATTTCTACTTAATAAAAGTTTGGAAGCTTCAGCGAACAAAAGAATTATGAATTCACCTGTTTCAAAATAAAATATAACATAATAATAAATGATGAATTTTTGTTACTATTATTAAATATATTTTAACTATTAATATAAAAATTTAATTTAATAACTTTTAAAAACATTACAAATTAAAGAAGAATGAAAATTTTAAAAAAATTATACAGTTTATACAACTTCTAAATGAAATTTCAAATAATCATTATAAAAAAAGATTAATCTCTAACTTTGAACTACAACGAAACAAAATGTAAAAGAATCATAGACAAGAATTCAGTTAGTGACATTGCCTCGCATAAAACTAATGCATAGTGGGTCATAATTATTCTACGAATACTAGCAGAGAATTCTTGTCATGGAATTGTTCTTTAATTAAATCTGAATACATGAAATACCTTTTGCACTGCACATTATAGATACAATTGTCCATTTCTTCTAGAACATAAATCCGGAGTCGAGGTCGTACAGTATAATTCACATAAAGAATTTTCTTGTTAGTTCACAGATGGCAGAAAGATCAGTTGCTCTGCCGATATAAAAATAGAAACTCTTAAGATAGAACGCATTATAATAAGAAAGAAATGATAATTGCGATTAACACTATAGAACTAAAAGTCACGACTACGCAAATCATTTAACTACGTTTAAATATAATTTTAATTCCATGCGATAAACAAGCAATTAAAAGTACTAATTATCGCAAAAAAATAATTTATTTCATCGAATAAATTGAATATATACATAAATATATTAGAAAGAAAATTTAATTAATTTGTATGTCGACTAAAATATTTCTTTCAATATGATTGTTAACGCAGTATTAAATGAATTAACCTTCAGATACTTCGATAGTAATGCATGGTCATCGTTCACGGACTTTATACTCCGTAGAATTAAAATATCTGGCATAAGATAGTCCGAATACTATTACCGCAAAACACTTTTGTCGATCGACTAGAATCGACCTTTTAATCGGAGAACATACTATAGAAAGAAGTTGAGCAATATAAAAAAGATAATGATTTTATAGGTTATCCGGATTCGATTGCATTAAATGTTAAAGTACAAAGACACTGTGGAAACGTACCAATGAACTCCATTCGAGTAGGATATCAGAAACAGGAAGAGCAATCATATGAATAAATTGTTGGAAGCTACGATTTTTCTACTTATATGCTTGTGAATAGAATAAGAAACGTCTATTTCACTTCTTTATTCATCAGATTTGGACGCTATCAGATTTAATATTTATATTTAAAAACTACATCTATTTCATAAATTTGTTCTTAAAAATTAGACTTCTTCTTTCATATAGATGGTAAATATATATATATATATAAATGTATATAATTGCTATAAAAGAATTAATTATAATAATTTGTTTTTAATAAAATTTATAAGTACATTTGGTTTAATTTTATTGCTTATTGTTAGAAATCTAAAGAAAATTTAAATTTAACGATAAACAAAATAAAATCATTATTTCATTTAAAAAATATTTATTATATTATTATAGTTTGTTGTAATTAACTTACTTGAATGACAGAGAATCAATGAGAGAAACAGTAAAGAAAAAATCATGAAGCATAAGCCTATTGCTGGATAATCCATTAAATATATATTATGCAATCCAAAATCAAAAATAACTGCAATCATTGCAGAAAGGGTCGGAAAAGTGAACATAATTCGTATATACGCGGTTTACGAATGCGTGAAGAATAGTGGGGTGCAGTGATGCGCGGAGCGGCCACTCCGCAGCGCTCCCCTTTCATTAGGAACACAGAATAAATAAGAAAGCATAGCTATCATATACTATCTTGCTGATGAAGAATTATACTCTTACTTTTCGTACAATCCGTGTATTACATAGTATTTTGTGATTAAGAGCGTAGATTGTAAAGAAATCATACATATAATAGTAGACAGAATTAATATTATACTTCTTTATCAATCATACTATTATGTTACAGGGGGACCCCAAGAACTGGCCTGCCCCACGATAGACCGAACAAAACACGTCATTTCTCGGGATTGAGATTTTCTCGCTCTATTTAATCAATCTTCTTTAATGTATGTTAATTCTTGGAAACAAAAATATAATATAAATAATAAATATTTTCATATAATATTATCTCATAAGTAATTTATAATATAAATTTATAATTTAATTAGAAAAATTAAAAAAAATAAGATTTAATAATTATTAACAAGCGTATTGATGTAATTATAAGTTATATACGCAATAATTATAAAATGGAAATGGAATGTATAATTATTTAGTATACCTTTAAAAAAAACATTAATTTTAAATATTTCTAAATAAACAACAAAATTATATGTAAATATAAATTTTCATAATTTTTTATCAGAAAATTTTCTTTAATAACCGACGAAACTTTAATGAATGAAATAACGAAGATAGATCATATTCTAACTTGAGATACTTGCCTGATCATTGGGGAGTCTCACGGTGTAGAAACTGTTTGAGGAATGCGTGTAATGCGTGTACGTACACGTCACGTCTACTCATCGTCGCTGTCACGTACAAGACTTATCGTCATGTATGTGCGTCTCTGTCTATATACCTACGTATGTCAGTATGCACGTATGCGATTCATCATTTTACATGTCAATCTTAAAAATGTATACGTTCTTAGCGATATGTTATACTATACTATATGTTATATATTGTTATATACTATACTATATGTTATATATATTTATTCTCTTAACATAGAATTTTGCTATGAAAAATATTGAACAACTATAATTGTTAAACAGAATTTATTGAATATATTATTGTGAAATTGTTGTTATTTATAAATATCATATCTGTGAAAATAAGTATTCTTAACAAATGATTAATCTTTAACTTCTATGCATTATAATCTATTACAACAATTAGGAAATTAAATAATAACATAATTTTTTGTTAATATAATCAATCATATTTTTTCTAAAAATATCAATCAATTTGATTAAAATTAATTTTGAATTATTTAAAAACTTTAAAAATATTTCAAAATATTGCATAAATATTATTTTCCAAGAAGAATCTTTCTTGTGGCTCCAAAGTTTTGTCCAGCTTGAGTGGCTCCTTTATTGGTACCAGCTTGAAGACCAATATAACCTTCACCAGCTCTTAATTGTTCTTCTGTGAAATGTCGTTTATTCTCTTCTGCTGGTCTTGGCCCCAGCCATGGACCACGCCATTCTGGATGTTTATATGTCTACAAATTCATTTATTATCATTATTATTATTATTTTCTTTTTTTATAATACACAGAAAATATATTCAATAAAAATTATTACTGTGCGGCCGATAGCAAAAATAGTATTGGTCACTTGCGCGATATTTTTCCTTTCTATAAGATCAACTGCTTGAAATAAATCTACATCTGGTACTCCATATTTTATGCATGCTTTCTGAAACCTAAAATAATAAAATTTAAAATAAATTATAAATTATAATAATGTCTAAAATAATTTAACAATGTCACTGAAATTTTTTTAAGTTTTTCTAAATAAAAGGCGTATGTAATTAACAACATAGCTAGATAGAATTGAACGACAGATAATCGAAATGTGTATAATAATCATTGAAATCTCTTTGAATTTCTAAAAATTATATATTATATAATGATTATAATTTTCTACTAAACAAGCAGACATATATGGCACATCATTGTTATTTAATATCCAAATTATTTAATATCCAAATATTTATTCTATATTAAGAATACATTTTTAACTTCAATGATATTAACTCATCTATCTTATATTAATATTAATACATGATAAATAATGATAAATAATTTTAATAAGAATTAAAAAATAAAAATATTAAAATTAATAATATAAAGTAAAATATTTAATATTAGTATTATATTTTTTATTTCATTAATCACATTTTATAAATCATAAATATGAATTTAACAGATACAATACACATATAAGTTGTATGCATGGAACTGCCATTTTGTCGGCTTCGATACAGCTATGTAATATAAGAAACTTGAGGCAGGCCAGTATTAATGAACTCTCCGAGTATAAGGAATGTAGAAACAAAAGAAGCATACATGATAAAGATTCTTAACCTCTATGTTACTTCTGCTTTCCGCATAAAAAGGGAGTAATGCGGAGTGGCCGCGCTGCGCATCGTTCGCCCCACTACTCAGAAAAGCGCTCTTAAACATTGAAACGCGCCAATTGCCGCATGCGCACGCATCATCATAGTCAAATATAATAAATGTTATGTTTCTTGCATTTTACCAAAATCTTCTTACACAAAGCCTTGTTGAGAATATCTTATGAATTTCATTCTTTTTCTTCATTTATTTAAATATAACATTAATTATCTTAAAACTAACTTTTAAGCAAAACGAACAAATCTTTTATCAAAGTTTTAATAATAATATTTTAATTTTATAATTAAATTTTTTATAATAAAAAATTAATTAAATGATATAAATTGAAATATAATAAATATAAAAACATTTTTATTATTTTTATCAAATTGTATGTCACATTTTTTTTAATAAACATAAGCTCTTTATTATGATAATTTTATAGATCTTTTTATAAAACAATAATTGTATATTTTATGATATGCTTTTTATCTTTGTAGAATAATTATGATGATTCCAACCTCGGACTTTATTGATACTTTTTTATCAGGCTATCAGCTAACTCAAGAAAGAATGAGACAACTAAAATTTCGCGCTAAGAGCATCGATTTGAAGTCAATAATCGCATATCGTTTGATCTCTCGATCTGAACGACTACGTGACCAATGCTCTCGACTTCGATAGATTGAATCGAGAGTAAAAGACTGTCGATCGCGTAAACTCGACTGTACAGCAGGAAAGCATAATATCAAAGAAAGTTCACTACACAAGTAATGTAAATTAGTGGAAATTAAATGTTATTTTAATACTTAATTTTTATTGCAATCTTAAATGTTAATTTCAAATGTCAATAACATTTCAATTATTCATCCATGCAACGTGATTCTTATATTTCTTGCAATACATACTGATTAAGATTGTCCATCATCTTATAATCACCACCTGATGTATTAATTTTAGTAATGAGATCTGGCTGCAATTTATTCATAAGTTTACAAAGCAATACACCATCTCGCAAAGCATCCTCATAATTCACACCTAAAAACATATATTCCATTAATTAATATAAAAAGAATATAAAGAAGATGAATGAAAAAAAGAATTATTCAGATCTCCGTTCCTTAACCTATTGAATTGAAATGATCGTTTTTCTTTGTAATCGATATAACTAAGGGAAAAAAGAAAATCTAGTAATGAAAAGAATGCCAAGAACCACAGTAGCATCAGGATAACAGAAAAATAAATCTCGCTTTTCCCGAGACAAAGCGTAACTTTTAAAGTATTACGGCAAATGTCATGCGCATTTCGTGTCAGCCATTGATTTTCATTGTTGGCCGACCAATTATCGGTTCAAATGAATGCCAACAGTCGTTTCTCTTGTTTTATCCTTCCCCTTCTACTACTGCGATCGAGATTGCCGCGAAATAATAACAGAGGTTGCGTGCACCAGCACTCGTTTATGGCGTCCCATTATGCCAAGAGGTGCGCCAAGGGGGCATGGCATTTTTTGCCAGTCAGCCGAAAGATCAGGAAAAACCGCCTCCGTCTTCTATTCATTTTTTTTTTTGGTCTCCAACGATGTGTCTCGATCAACGCCATCATTGTCTTGCAGTCGTCATGACTCGTGCGTTGAAGCAATCTCGTCGCCATTCGAAAGACACGCTGCATCTCAAATTGCCAGGAACCCAGCATCTGACTAGAGCTCATGCATCGATATCAAGCATGTATCGTTTATTGTCAAGTTCTCCTACCAATTCGATACGTACGTTTCGATATATCGAATATATTGACATACTACGCTCTCTGGTGAGCAACTTTATAAATTGTATCGATACATGACAATGAAGCGCTGCAATCGATGAGTGCAATAGTTGGTTCTTCTACATAATTATATATATATATATGAAAACATTTGTTATTAAAATAAGTTACGTGTTAGATAAAATAATATCTGAAAAAAAAATAAAAGTAAAAATGCAAATAATAAGTCTTTAAATAAATGACCTGTCAAGATTTTAAGATAAATAAAACTTATCGAGTGTGTTTTTATATAGATTATGTGTCGATTATACACAATGATAGTAATGAATAATATATGCAGCATCTATGAATATGAAAGTTACAGACTTACTAAGAAAACATACTAAGCAAGTAATTCTTCAGTTACATATATATTTTGTATAGAAATAAACATTGAAGCTATGTATTATATAGAAATGTAAGAAAGATTATTATAAGAAATTATGACATACTTAAAAGCAAACATTTCTTAACTTTTTTGTTTTGTTATATATTACAATACAAATATCTATATGTTATTTGCAATAACTAATATCTGTATAATTTATTACATATATATAATTCTTTCAAAGAATTTTTGGGACAAGAATTGATTGTTCAAAGAACTACTATCCTGATCTTATAAGGACAACATGTCACGTGGTTTTGCAATGGAGGGGATGCCATTGTATGCTTACCCCAAAATCTGTTCGCCTAATATAAAACTGGTCGTGTGCTTGAATTTTCGATTGATGAGTATTCGACAGTTGATCAGCATTAATACATACTACTATTCAGTTAATTCTTAATCAATTTCTAATTTTTAAATAACAAGAATAGTAATTTATCATATTTTTTTAAATATATCATATATCATATATATTTTTTAAATATATAATATATTATATATATATATATATATATATATATTTATATTTATTACATATAAAATTGATTATGAATATTGATTGTACAATTATAATTAAGTAATAACTTTTATATATAGAATATATTTAGTATTTAAAAAATTTATCTAATTATTTATAACAAGATAATTTTTGAAATATCATTTATTATCAAAATTTATTAAATATATATATATAATATGATATATAGTTAAACTAATTTTTTTTAAAAAATAAGATTTAATTTTTTATGTTATAAATGCAATAAAAACATTCTTTTATAGGAATAATTTATCTTAAATGAAGAAATAATACTATGTATATTTCAGCTACGTATATGAAACGAATCGAGCAAACCAGTCGCTTTTTCACAATATCCAGGTAACAGCCCGAGGGTGACAGTATCCAGCATCCTCTTCCAGATGAACGCGGGCAAATGGAATACAAACAAGCGTGACATACTGATACATTCCTGGTAATATTGAAACACGATGAGATGTCGTAAACGCAAGAAGATGACAGAAAATCGATTGAACGCCTTCCAGATCTAAACTGACTTTTCTGTTATGATTCTTCGTCGCTTTCTTTAGTACTTGAGCAAACATAGTAATATGATGCTAGCCTGATATTTTTCAGATGTTGTATGTCTTATTGCTGTCTTTGTTCATATCCGATACTATGTATCAAAAAAATATCGAGTCACAATAATATGTATTGGTGAATCGGAAACTATTACCATCTCCGATACTATCCTGTTACGTTAACACGTCATAGTCGTCATATCTCGACAGTTTGATGTGAAATCGATAAAATATATTAAAATGTATTTTTTGTGTATGTATATATATATATATATATATATATATATGTTCTTTTTTTTAGAAATTTTATAGAAATATATACTATTATATTTAAAGAAGTAACAATAAATATTGAGTAATGTAATTGAAAGAAGCGATAATAGTTAATTATGAAAGAAGAACGCATGGGAACTTATGGGAAGTAATTGTAATATTTAATCTACTTAATCAAATATAGATATATAACTTCTATCTATCTCTTATTAACAAATATAGAAGAAATTAAAAATAAAACAGCTCAGAAAGATGCGTAAGATTATTAACTATTATTATAAAAAGAAACGAAATCTTTAGCAGAAATAAATCTATGAATTTCAACGAACACGTTTGCGTGTTTCAGTATCGATTTAACGTCAGTTTCATGTCATAAAGACGTCAAACACACCGTTTTCACCAGGACAACATCCCCGACTTGAATTTACGACCGCCAGCGAGCAACAGGTTTCGCGGGAACAAATTTTCTCACACATAGAAGTCAGTTTTTCTTTATTTTTATAATAATAAAATTCTATCAACAATCTTTCCTCATATAATATTATTAAATTATATTAATTAATAAATTAACACTTTATGATCTTTGATTAAATTTTTATATTTTTAATAATTTCAATAAAAAATAAAAATTAAAAATTACAAAGAGATTTTTTTTAAGCAAAATTTTTTTTAATTTAAAATTGCAATTTTATATAAATTTATTTTATTCTATATCATAAAATATTTGTGCAAAATTATAAAGCATTAGTTAATATAACTAATTGATTAATTAAAATTTCTTTATAGGTAGCTATATTTAAATGGAATCTGAGGCTACTACCTGTTGCTTTTGATCGTAAATCTACCCTCGGGCTGTAATCCTGGTAGGTTAGTCTCAGAATGACGTCATTGACGATCTTCTGACGGACAAGTGACACTTATTGATGTTTCTCTTCAATCTTTTAACCGAATGAATTGCAATTTCTTCCAAAGAAAATATTCTTATTTTCTGAACGAATACAATGAAATTTAGACGAATACATGGAAAGCAGCCCTTGGTTGGCGGGAAAGCCATAAATTCATCTACTATCCCTCGTTACTACCCTAGTAACTGTGAGCTTTCGTGACATCACGTAACGTTTCGTGACGAGCACTTTGACATATCCGATAGCTTCTATTTATAAAAGTCATAGACAAGATACTACGTTCAATATCTGCTAGAATTATCTTTTAAGGAGAAAAAAAGAAATATATAATGGGTATAAGGATCGATACGCTGACGTGGCGTCTAATATGTAAATAAATTCCTCAAACATCTGCTAGTATCCTGATGTAAGCAAGTTACTTGTACCACTGTGACGAATAGATGACTGACACTTCTCTTTTTCAAATTCTTGGATTTCTTCTTGTTAATATTTAGAAAATGTTTTCAATATGAAACATTATAAAGTATTATAATTAAAGAAAAGAAATGATCGAGTGATACTATATTTTAATCATTAACAATATATGTTGATAATTTTAAAAATTATTTATCTATAACAAAAATCAAATATTGGAAAAATAAAATATGATTATGAAAATTTAAGTTAGAACTTGCAATAAATGCATAATACTGTATGTATGTATGTACACACGTACGCGCGCGCGCGCACGCACGCACACGCACACACGTGCGCACACACACAATTTTATATATATATAATATATAACTTATATATATATATATAAGTTGTAAAATATAATATTTAACATCTTTTGTTTCAAATTTTTTTTATAAATTTACAAAAATAATAAAAGTTCGATTATTATAAATGATTCTTAAATTTAAATTGTTTCAGAAAATGAAAATAAAAGGGTGTGCAAGAAGGTGAATATGAAAAATGACACAATGCAATGTTTGACTTGACTATCCAGACTCTCATATGTGATCCTGATACATTGGCGTCCTTACGACGTAACATGATGAACAGATGACGCTAAATCAATATACGTCGTCGGCAAATGATTGCTAAAAATCGTTTAACGGATCCTTTAGTTCGGTTTTTATTTTACTTATTGTCTATGCAATTAATGATAAAAAATCTAATTTTAATTTATATTATCAATTTCCAATCATAGAAAGATAATTTTTAATATTGTTTTAATATTTTACAATCTTAACATTTCACAATCATTTAATATAATATAATTAAATAATTGTTATATTATATAAAGAATAATTGATTTATTTTAAAAAATTTTATTTCAAGATATTCAAAGTTTTATACTCAAATAAATCGTCAAAATTATTAAAAAAATTTTAATGTTCAAATAATATGTAATTTTTCTCTCGTTTAAATAATATTTCTAAGTATGCAAATTATACAAGGGTCGTGTCCAGCATGCCACACGAGCTTCCAGGAACAGGCTAACATCCACAATTGGAAGACTCGAGAATCTTGAAATACCAATTCCAATTGCAGGTCATCGAAGGTCAGGAATACTAGGGACGAATTAGAAGGATGAAAATGTAGGTGAAAGATAAAGGCAATGAACTGAAGCAGTTGTCTAAGTTCAATTTTAAACGAGTCAATAACATCAAAAGCTTCAAATACCCGGCTTACATCATCGTGTAGAGCTATTTCTTGCTGTGGGTGGAACTTATACTACATAATACTAAAGGGATGTAACATGATACAAAATCTAGCTATACGATAGAATTTATTTATCTTTTATGCTAAAATGATAATTATTTATCTTAGAAATCAAATTTGTCGAATAAAAGTTTTAAAAATAAGAATCTTTTTAATTTTAAAATATTGCAATCTGATATCGTACAAATATAAAAAATATTAAATGTTATATTTATTTTAATTTAAATACTGTTCTTAAACAATTAATCGTTACACGAATAAAGATATATAATCATATGTTCAACACGGCAATTGCATCGTCGCCTGACGTATTTCTCAAACCAGGGGTACACGTTCGACGTAGGGGTTGTTATCCAGTTTCCGTTCAATAGGGTGACTCGAATGACGTAACAAAGCGCGCGTTTTATTAGGAGAACATCGATAAATGGAGGATGAAATTACCCTTAACAGCTCCTGTCACCAACCACCTTTCGCTCTCTATTGGTGTTCCAATATTAGCTTGTCGCGGTCAATAATTATTATTTAATCTAAATTTATAAGAATTATATATAAAATCAAAGTTACTATTTTCTTTATAAATTTTTTTTATTAATCTTTTATTTCATTTTAAATTGTTCTTAAATATTGTTTTAATAATAAATTTTTGTATCGTTCATTTATAAACATCTTTCATATATTGCAATTAAATATTCCAATAACTGACCTAGTCAACAAATTTAACCTTTACTACGTCACGCAGTCTGACATTCGTATCCGGATATTATAGGGTTGAAGTTAGCCTTTGTATGCATTGCACTGATCTTGAACGGGGGTGGTTATTGACACGCTTTTCGAACTGCACCACCTCCGGAGAACAGGAGTTCATATATGACAATATATGGAGCAAGGGAATGACATTATAAACTTCAATTCATTTTATCTTAAGCTTAAAAATAAATGATCATCATTAAAAAATTAATAATCATACCTGCTGGAAATTTCTCTCCAATTACTTGTTCGATCCATTGCTGAGCCTCGGCTTCTTGATTTGGTTCTCGCTTGCCAGCAACCTATAATCAAAATGTTTTAAACACTATTTTAATATTTTTTAATGATATTAATAATTTTATATATCAGTACGCTTAATAGCTTCTTTTATCATGATTTAATGGTTAATCAATATTTTCAATATAATGTTAAACTTAAAATTAACTTTAAAAATTATAAACTAATTAAATTTTAAATTCATGTTATATTCATATATTCATTATAATTCATTAATATTTCATTTATGCACATGTCCATCCGATCTTATATAAAATTTCTTTATGAAATAATAACATTTTTTCCCGAAGCGAATTTTGTTTTTGTAACAAATTTATCAGTTTCCGCAGAAACTTTCAAAAATTGCCGTAGCCGATGGTATTTCACATCGTCATGGCGGGGTATTGGTAAAAGTTTTCAACTAGCAATAATCGCACCTCGGTAGAACCTCATTGGTTACGATATCGCCACTGCGCAAAGCTAACGAGTCTATCTTCCTCAGCCCTACTAATAACACTGGCGTAATCTTTCGACAGTGAGAATCCTTTCTTCCTCGACGCCATCTCGTAGCAAGATGAGTAACTAACAACTCGAGTGAATGTAGGCACAAAACTACGTATATTTTAAATATAAAATATGAATAAATAAATGTAATTTTAAAACTTAATTTCATATATTAAGAAATTATTCAAGATATTTCTTTAATAATGTATTATTATAAATATATATAAATAAATCTAAAATATGATTTTTTCTTGAACTCAATTTTTCAGGTATTATGAATAATGTATTTGCAATTGACTGCAAGTCAAGGGATGCGTTAAGTATTTATTGGAAATGCATTGTCACAGGAAAACACGAAAGCAGGAGGTAGCATGCTAAGTACACATGGAAGGACGCTATATAATGGAATCTTACTCCATTCTTTCTCTTCTTTAATTAAATGTATAATATGTAAATAATTCTTTAATTAAATGTATAAAAATAATATGTAAATATTATATTTTTTCTTGTTGTTTTTAATTCTGAATGAAACGAAATAATCCAGCAATTTTCAACTGTTTTCATTCTAATATTTTATTTCGGAACCAATTAAATAAAGAATAAATTTGGCAGAAAGTGTTGAATTAAAATCATTTTTTTTTTGAACGCAAGAAAAATATTCTAAATAAATACAATTATCAAAGATTTCAGGAAGCAATAATAATCAGATTAATGCTATTAAATTTATATTTGTTATGTAATTCAATCCCGATATAAAGAACGCAAATATGAATATTCGCTCCAGCCATTTACGCAATTCTGTTGTATTACGATAAATTTGGAAATAGCGTCGATTGATGAAATCTAAACTCGGCGGTGGCCTCACCCTTCGAAGTGGCCAGAATCCAGAAATTACAAGCGTCTTGCTGTTATCGGTGTCTTTCATCTGGCGTTCATCCACGGACCAGTTAAATATCGTTCATCGTCAAAAAAAACACCCACTTGTTCTAACTTTTCCACAACTTTGTCGTCAATCACAGATTTCTTCCGTCTATGACGTCAATGATATCAGCATTTAACAATAAACGACTAAATATTTAATCGTTTATTGTTAATTATAACTTCAACTCCAGTTCCAGATTATTCTCAAAATTGTATATATTATTTTTTATGTTATTTTTAATCACTTAGTATTTCAAGAATTCGGTAATTAATTTTATCAAAACGCTATATGTAAAATTGGATATGAAATACAAAAATAAGCAATCCAGTCTTGTAAATCAATTATGATATATGGCCAAAAGATCTTTGAAACTAATTTTATATAACTAATAATATAAAAAAAAAAAAAAAAAAAAATAATTAAAATCTGTATTTTCTTCATTTTAAAATCATCATTCCTGAATCTTCTAAATGTTGATTATACTTCTTAAATTTTTATATTCTATTATTTAAAAGCCTTTGAAATAATCAAAGTTGATGACAAAATAACAAGAAAAAAAAATGAATTTTTCATCCATCATTAAAAACGTTACAAGCACATTTTCGTTCAGTCTAGTAAATAGGGCTTGCAGTGTCAAGATCTGATCGTGGGCGGGGGTATGGGAATACCCAGTGGGCAAGTGGCCAAACACTCTTTTCTGAATGTCGGTGAAAAGGATATGACGGAGGGGGTACCGGCATATAGCGTCGGGACGCACAGCGTCCGACTTAGTCTCTAGTCAGCGTCATCGTTCAAAAGTCGTTCAACAGAAAAGCGCACATTATCTCCGTGGCAACATCGACGGCGTTCAACAAAAAGAAAATAAGGAAACATGCCGGTATGTGTTCATTATCCTGTCGATGTGTACGTTCCATGGAACGTACATGGAAATAATGCAATGCGGAATCGCGATCTTGATGACAATTCGTCAAATAATGATATAATTGAGATTATAACAAGAATGAATAATTTCTCATTATGTTATTGCCGTGTATTTTTACTTTTATTTTCTTATTTTAGAGTCTTAATTACAATAGACTTTATTTCGTTCTTGCGATTTTTCAAAAATTCTGGATTAATCCGATATTCCAAAATTGTAAAGAAAAAAATTAATAGGAAATATGAAGAGTTTGAAAGATATTATAAAGTAGATATTTGCAATTTGTTTTTGATTCAATCAAAGAATAAAATAGGATAATAGACACGAAATAATAATAATAATAATAATAATAATAATAATAATAATAATAATAATAATAATAAAACTCGAAATTTTGTAATTTGCAATAGCGATCGATTTTGACTATATCTTCTTCTTCTCGTTCGGATTATTTATATCCTAAGATAAATATACGTAATATATATTCTAACGATATTTTCAAGCCGTTAATTCAAGAAACTGGAAAAAGATTATTATTGCTATATAACTTCTTTCAGATTTAAAATTTATAACAAAATTTTTGCTTTATTTTCTAAAAATTTATTTAAAATTATTTATTGATCAATTTTATTTGATTATTAATTGCATTTCAAATTTCAAACATAATCTATTATTAAATACGTTCAATCTATGAAGCGAGTCTTTCGTGTATTTTCAAAAGAATTAATGGATACTCATTTTGATCAAAAACCAAAATTACTGGAGTAAAGATTCAAAAATTAATTAATTTAATTTTAAATTTAATGAATCTTTGCATCAGGTATTACGTTTTTGAGATAGATTCGATCTGAATGAAAACATCACGTCCCTTGAGAATAAAGCTTAAAATACAATCTCGAGAGCGTTCGAAGAAAACTACATTGCTTCGAAAGACTTGATATATTGCAGATATTCCGTACATTTTCTTGCAAGATCATCGTTGATCCTTATTTTTCGATCGAATAGAAATAGACTTCTAGTAACACTATGCAATCGTTGAAATATTCGAGGCAAAATCGTGTGGAAAATCGTAACGTATTGGAGCTTATTTTTGCTATAAATACTGATCTATCGTAAATAAATGAATGCCAGATTTCATTTACGTCAATTGTTCGTTGGCATTTTAGATCGATGCAAAAGATGTTAATAAATTGCTTACATTTATCACAGAGAAATGTTTATATCCATGTTCCCTTCTCGATAATTTCTTATAAAAAAAGAGATCATTGTATGAGAAAACATTATGAGACATAATTAACGATTAAAAGATATTTCGATATTTTCAAATTTCTTTTGCAAACGATCATTCTAAAAAACAGAAAACATTACAAAAAAAAAGTCATAAAAACGAAACAATTGTCAGAATGCCAGAAATGTAAATAATTTCGTTTTATAGACAATTTTACCAGAAATTAGTAAAACTGAAGATTCATATAGTACGGAAACAGGTGGCCGAACATTGTTGCTTCTTGCCAGTTTTAATAAAAGCCAACAAATCGGTCGGCGTATTTTATTTTCGATGTTTGCTTAATACCCGCGGTAACGTAATACCGTCGCGATCTATTTCTGTTCCTGACATTTTTAAATTGCCCGGCAGCACTTCGCTGGATCATCCCTGACTCCTAAATCGATATCTGTGCCACAATATCCACCACATACGATTCTAATTTAAGATGATACAATTGACGAAAATAAAACTTCCGATTTCTAGGCACGTAACAAGGAACAAGAGAATGAGATTTTGACATGGATCGAAACCGTCCTAGGAGAAAAACTTCCACCTGGAAATTACGAAGATATACTCAAAGATGGAGTGATTTTGTGCAAGCTTATCAATAAATTGGCGCCTGGTTCGGTAAAAAAGATTCAGACTAAAGGAACTAATTTCCAGCTTATGGAAAATGTTCAGAGGTATTTATAATAATTCGAACTATATTCAATTTAAATTTAAATTAATAATTTGCAATTAATAGATATTATCGTTATTTTTGGTCAGATTTCAAGCGGCTATTAAAGAATACGGTGTCCCACAAGAGGAAATCTTCCAAACAGCTGATCTTTTCGAAAAGCGTAATATTCCACAGGTTACATTGTGCCTTTACGCTTTGGGCAGGATAGTAAGTATCGTGAAATTAATTTAATTTTTAAATTTCAGAGAAAAATGAACATTCAATGAATCGTGATTCTCTTCTCCATAGACACAAAAGCATCCTGAGTATACAGGTCCACGTCTAGGACCAAAAATGGCCGAAGAAAACAAAAGATTGTTCACAGAAGATCAGCTTCGAGCAAGCGAAGGCCATCTCAATTTACAAATGGGATACAACAAAGGAGCCAGTCAAGCTGGTCACGGTGGATTTGGCAATACTCGACATATGTAAATTTTTTACAATGCATAAAAAATACATTATAAACTTATAAAAACATGAAAATCTATATAAACATTTACATAGATATAAATATTCTTTCACTATCTACTTATCGATCTCGAAATATACATGGTTGAAGAATGCAATTAGCAATTAATTTTAAATATTTAGTCACTAATCTATAGCTGATCTCTCTATCTGAAAAAAATTCAACCAAATCGATATTTTGCTTTCTCGTCGAATACCTACGAAAACATACATGTCTTGTAGACATTATAACAATGTAGTCTACAATCTCAATATACGTATATTACCGATGTTACATGTTATATGTTATGAAATTTTATTATTATGTATTCAGTATATATAAATATGAAAATGTTGTTGATAAACTACAATTAAAAAAAACAGACACATTATGTTGTAATTACATATATAAATAAGTTAAATATACAACATTAATATACATTATGTATACAACACGGTATAGGTATGCAATATATTGAATATTAATTTATCTTTCGTGAATATTTATTGAAAAAAATATGAAATATGATAAAATTCTAAATAAATTATCATTTATATCATATGAAATAATATAACTTAAATTTATGTATAAAGGATTTTGCAATTATTTTATATATAAAATTTTACGTAAATTCTTATATTGAAGATTATCTTATCAAACTGAAAGAATAGTGTAATATCTTTCCTAAGATTTATTATTATTATTATTATTATTATTATTATTATTATTATTATTACTATTACTATTATTATTATTCTCACATAATTTGCTAATACTATGTAAATAACAATTGTACAAAATAAAAAAGCAATACTGCTATTTTATATTATCTATATTATTACATCATTCAAATTCGTAATCACAATTATAACTATATATCACAATTATAATTATGATACTGAAACATTTAAATTTTTAATTTCATTTATAATATAATCTTAGAAAAAGAGAAAGCTAAAAAAAATTGTGATTTCTTCTTATTCAGAGTAAAGTGTTAAATTTTTGGCAAACATTCATATAACTAATATAAATATAATGACCGTTTCTAAAATATCACAAATCATAAATGACAAAAAAGAATTTGATTCAAACTTTTATTTAGTTTGGCATGTCTTAACCCCTTTTAGTTATTTTTGGATATTCGCAGTTACCAGACACGTGTGTGAATTTGACTGACGGTGAATTTGCGTTATGATATCGTTAACATATCAAGTATTTATATTCCATAACACTCGATAATTTGTAATTATATAAATTGTAATCGAAATATGTAATTGAATTTTATATTGTAATATTATTGAAAGATTGTAAAATTTAAAAAAAAATGGAATGGATTTTATAATATTAATAAAAGTATAAATATAAATCAAGATTATTTAAATATAAATCAAATCAATATCAAATATAAATCAAATATAATATCAATAATCAATATATCAAAATGATTCATAATTTACAGACTTTCTAGAATTAAAAACATTGACGAAAATACTTTGACTTGTATATTGAATCAAATATTTGAAAAAAAAATAATCTTTCGATATATTAAAAAACTTTTTAATATTATTATATTATTTGTGAACATTTTTTTAATAATTATAGATACTTTTCACATATAATATCATTTCAAAATGTGATTTAAAAAAAATAAAAAATTTCAATAAATATAGTATACTTTGAATTATAGTATGTAGAATGCGTAATTTTATAAATAAAAAATATAAATTAATATTTTAAATTATAAATATATGGATAAAGCGAAGAAAAAAATATCTTTTCACACTTATCCATTCTTTTCATACTTATACATTCAACTTAAAATCATAATTAATTTATATTTGTGATATAATTTCACTTATCATAGAAAATTATTATATATTTATTATATATTTATCATGAATCAATAATTGAATGTAATTTATAATTTAAAGGTTATGTATATCAATCAATATAAATAATTTCATGCGTATAAATAATTTCACTTTATCTTTATTTTTATCGCATAAAAATTAATTAAATATGCTTCTATTATATAAAATTATATATAAAATTCTTTTTCACACAACTTACTTGCCAGAGTGGACGCCCAGGCATGATGAATACTGTTTGTAAATGCTCTTTTGTAATGCCAAAACGTTGGAGATGCTGGTAAAGCTTAAGCAACTCAAGCTCAAAAAATGTACGCTTCGGCCACTGTGCTGCGTATATATGTATGATAAATTTGCATTTGTGTTGGTGAATGTGCAGCGCTTCTATATATGGATCACTTACTCACCATCCACCTTGGTACTCATCATATATGAATATCTAAACATGATATTTTTTGGAAAATATGCTTCAAGAATCATGTAAACATCATTTTTCATTGATTAAAAACAATTTAACACACTTTTATAATTTCTCTTAAAATGTATTTCTTTTTTTTACGTATTTCTTTTTGAAAATAATTTTTTTTACAATTCTATTTCGATACAAACATATAAAATTAAATAAATGATAAGAAACATAATAATAACTTGACATTATATGTAAAATATAATTTTATTTTACAAATATTAGTCATATTTCCATATAGTACTTTCATAGAAACCGTATATAACAACGGTAGCGTGGCCGAGCGGTCTAAGGCGCTGGTTTAAGGCACCAGTCTCTTCGGAGGCGTGGGTTCGAATCCCACCGCTGCCATTTATTTTTATGTCTTATTTTCCAATAATTTAATACATCTTAAATTCCATAGATTACATTTTTCCAATTTTTGCAAATTTACAGTTAATGAAAGATGACGATAAGAACTCTCTTGAAAATGCAATGAGTTGGGTCGGCATGCGGCGTCATGATTCACACCTATTAGGAGACTAAATTATAAAAAGAGTTTTTCTATTTCTTTATCGTGAATAACAATACCGCTTTTTTTATAAACTATATACTAACATATTAATTAAATGGCTGTATGTCATAGATATCATATGCTTTAAATAAATATTTAACTTACATATATATTTTTTAATATAACGAATATTTAAATTACAGAATACAGCTATCATTCAATACATTTTTTATTATGTGATTTAATAATTCTCGTCCATATATAAACGAAAATAAAACAATTAAATACTTATGTGTTAAATTTTTATAAATATAATTATAAATAAATGAAAATTAATTATCTTTAAATTTTTATGTATATAAGCACTTATTTCATTATTATTGAATAATAATTCAAAATATAAAAAAAGATAAAATAAATAATACATATATAAATTAAGTATCATGAGAAATAAAAGATTTTCTTTATGATTAAAACCGTATATTATGTCGATTCTACGATTTTCTATTTTACCGATGCGCAACAATTGGGACATGGTATGCTTCTAAATAATATGTTAGCCTAATAAATATTTCATTCTGAAGATGCCACCACGAGCCACACCCTATGGATATACAAGATATTCCCATCTAATATCATTCGCAATCTTTTAGGAAATATAATTTAAAAATTGCATAAATTCTAAAAATGATAATCTTTATATATTTTAGCATATTTAAATATTGCATATATTGCTTAAATAGTTATTATTTAAAAAATTATTATTTAGTATTAAAATTATATTATTAAAATATATGTTAAATATATGTTGTAAGTTTTTCATAAAATATATAAATATATAAAAATATTTATAAATATATAAAAGTTATTATATTATGATGTATGAAAAAAATTAACATTTATTTAACTCCTATTTATATTAAAATTAATCAAAAATCAATTAAAATTAATAAAATAATCGATTCTAATTATACAAAGAACATATTAAATTTTCCAAAAATATAAATATGAAAATCTTGATTTTTTTATTTATCTGAATAGCTATTATATTATGTCAATAAAAAATTAATGGATGAAAAAATTTATTATATAAAGATTATTGATTTATATATATTTTATATTTATATAACATATTTGTATTTAAATAAATATAACAAAAAAGACTCCGTGGCGCAACGGTAGCGCGTCTGACTCCAGATCAGAAGGTTGCGTGTTCAAATCACGTCGGGGTCAGTAAACTTGGTTCATCTTCTTTTTATTTCAATTTGTATTAAATTTAAATAATTTTAAAACTTAAAAATAATAATAATAAATTATTTTTCTTTCAATTTTTCCTATTTTAAGAAAATATATAATATCATGCAGATTTCAGTATGCATTAAAATCTTTGAAATCTTGAAACAAATACTAATAAAAAAAAAATTAATTTTTAAATTACAATAAAGTATTTACTAGGAATTAATCTAGTCATATTTTTTTGAAATTATTTAAAAATTATAACAATTATAAAGATTATATATATATATATATATATACTTTACCATATAGAAATACAAATGTGATGCATGCTCACATCCCGCACACAAGATACAAAATATTAGGATAACATAAATGAACTACTTTTCTCCTTTCTCGTATAGTTGAGCAACATTCGCGCGGGCTGTCTCATTTATCCCCTTCTTAGATTAGGTTAACATGTTAGTCGAGGAAGCTATATTAATGTAACTTAACATATATCTCCTTTTTTTGTATATAAATGCGTTTTATTATTCTTCAAAATCAATTGTTTTTATATTTAATAAATAATTGTTGTTGTTATAATATTTAATAAATAATTGATATGAAATATTTGTAAAAAAGCAATTTATTATAAATTATATATATATGAAAACAAAATATTTTTCAAGCTAAATAATTGATTAAAATAGATATGTAAATATATCTATTTTACATATAAAAATTGTCAAGATTTAAAGTAAGATACTTCTTAATTAATTATTTTTAACTATTGTTTAATTAATTTTAACTATTGTTAAATATCATAATTATTTTTTTATTTTTTATTTATAAAAAATAATAATATTATTTATAAAAATATGAAAATCAAAATTTTAATTATTTTAATATTTATTATTAATATATATATATATACTTTATTTTATATTAAATGGTAATAAAATATTTTAATATATTCATACACAAACAATTTCATATGTAAGGAACGAAACGATTCAGGAAATAACTGTTAATATTATTATATAACAAATAATTGTTATAAGGAACGAAACTTTCTATGTATATTGTTTTCAATCTTTATATCGATCTTACGTTTTCTTTTATTTTTAATTCCTGATTTCAAATTCCTAATTTATTTTTAATCCTATATGAAACATATCGAAGTATTATTAACTACTAACTTAAGAATGTATAAATTAAATTATTATTTATTATATTTACCATAAATATTGAGCTAAATTATAATGATATAAAAGTTGATAAATTAAATCATTATAATAACAAAAATATTTTTCTTAGCCTTAACAATAATAATATATAGTGTAGTAATATATAATTCTTTAATAATGATCATTGCCTACATTATTATATATTATTATTATATATTATTATATGAAAAAAAAGAGAATCGATTTCATAATACTTGGGTATCATAATTAAAAATAATTAAATATATATATATATATATATATATATATGTAATTATGTAGAAAAGTGTATAAAAATATATCTGCCTATGTATTATAATCCTCCAATGAATTTTTAGTTAGCAGATGAAATGGACATAATCAACAATTTAACCGACCTATAAATAGGAACGCAGGAATTGTTGTAAGGTATTAAAACGATAGATAAAACTTCCACGTTCGTTATGTTATCCGTTGATTGGAAAGACACAATTTTGAGGAAGAGCCGCATGGACTTTAAACACTTTTGTGATATAACACTACTTCACACATTTCTTTTCATTATTTATTAATTTGTTAATCCAATATGATAAAAAATTTGAATAAATCAATGATTTCAATATATCTCTGATGATTTACTGTTTTAAAATTTTATTTTATAATATATAGTATCAGCAATCTAACCTTCTCTATGTAGTATATAATGAAATCATGGGACAGTGACACCGTTTTTCCCCAAAATTGGAATTAATAATATTTTTTGTTTATGTACACATATATAATTAAAATTCTTTATAAAACATTCTTCATTATATTTTATAATCACAATATTCAATGATAATTCTATATTTTTTGCAAATGCAAATCTTATTAAACTTTCCCCTAAAATTAATGATTCGGAATAATGGAATTTGTCTTCTACATAGCTAAAGCTTGCAATAATAAGTAGTATATAGAACATATGTATACACATATACATTTCTACATTTATACTATACGCTTCTATTGGTAGCATTATGAAATTACTGATGGCTGCATGCGTCCCTGTTGAAAAAATTCCTCACGGGCGAAAGTCAAGGTATGATGGAATATTGTAACAGCATATTGGTTAGAAATGTTCCATGACTGCATGATATCCTAGTACTAGGAGGGGCTTTGTGAGACAACCCGCGCGAAACTCTTTCCAACGTAGGGAGAAATGTAGCTTCCTAAGTCAATATGTTTTTCGGATAATTCGGGACTTGTATACGGGATGTGAGCACGCGTGGGTTTTTACTGAACACATCAAAACCATTAAAATAATTAAAATTCTTTTTTTTCGTTTTAAACATTTTTATAAAATTAAGAAAAATATTATGCAATTCTTTAAATTATATAATTAAATTATATAATTAATGATAATTACTAATATAATACTAATATTCATGTAATTATATATTGTATAATTAATTACATTAATTTTATATTAATATATGATTTAATAGAAAATAGAATAAATTTTTTATGTACTTTATATACTATTTATTATTATATTGAATGATTCTTAATATAAATTGAATTATCAAAAAAATAAATAAATACATATTGTATGTGTACACACGCGCGCGCGCACACATACACACACACACACATGCATACAACATACACATGTGCGTGTATGTGTGATGGTTATATCACGCACATAGATACAAAAATGTAATATCTCAAAACTTTTCATTTTTGTACCATTGTTGATTATTATTGTTTATATACTAGTAATTATATAATACATTAACAAATGTTTTATGTTCATTATCGAATTATCAAATATGTGTCATATATTATTATTTAATATGATGAAGAAAATTTAAAAATTCAAATTATATTATTACATTATAAGAATTAATGAATGATAAAATTATTTAAAAAAAAAAGATACGCAAAAAAAAAATGCAAAAAAAAAAATATTATAATGTTTTTTATCTTATACATTACTAATATTTTATTAATTTATAGTATTATTGTTTAATATATATTTATACAATATATTTTTAGTGATTCCTTTTAATAAAGGATAAATAAATCGATGTTTTAAAGACTCCGTGGCGCAACGGTAGCGCGTCTGACTCCAGATCAGAAGGTTGCGTGTTCAAATCACGTCGGGGTCAAAAATGCTTTTTTTATTTCTATTTAATAAAATTATTAAATTAATAATTTATTTATAAAGTAAATTGAATATGAATTGAATTTTCTTATATCAAAATTATATATTTTTAAAGCTAATATTACTTTTATATATATATATATATTAAAAATACTTTTAGTTTGTATATAATATTAAGTAAATAAACAGAATTTCATGTTAATAGTTAATTTTTAATTTTCTATCTAAAACAAGAATGAGTTATCTATTCATGATATGGAATGATATGGAAATTATAAAAAATATTTAAATATAATAAATATATAATAATACAATATAATATAATTGTAATCATATTTTATAAATTAATTTTAAATTATATATTTTTATATAACAAAATTTAATTTATAATATTTATAATAAATAAGCATTGAAGCAGTCGTGGCCGAGTGGTTAAGGCGTCTGACTAGAAATCAGATTCCCTCTGGGAGCGTAGGTTCGAGTCCTACCGACTGCGTTGTATTAAAAATGTCTTTTTTTATAAAATAAAATATAACAATAAATAATTAAAATACTCTTTATAAATTTTATTTTTAATATAGAATCTTAATATTATTTTATTATATTTTTATTCATTTATTATATACTTTTATCTAAAAAATTATTAAAGAGTAATCCAAAAATAATGAAAAATATTTAATTATAATAAGTTATTATTATTATTATGTTTAATAATAATTTAGTACGTATGGCGCCGTGGCTTAGCTGGTTAAAGCGCCTGTCTAGTAAACAGGAGATCGGGGGTTCGAATCCCCCCGGGGCCTTTCAAACATTAAATTTTTCTTTTAAATCTTAATAACAATAATATAATATTGCATAATAATTACAAAATATAGCTTTAAAATAAATATATTTGTAAGATATGAAGAAAAAAAAGCAAAGAGTTAGAAATACAATTAGAAAATTTTTAATATCATTTTAATAAGTAATTTTTTATTTAAGTAAAATTTAAAACTATTTATTTTTTCAATATATTTATATAAATAAATAAATAAAATATGAAATATAATAAAAAATACAAAACTTAGTATTTTATAATATACTTATATATCTTAGAAATCAAATTTATAGCCATTTCCGGAAACTTTCACTCGTGTTACTGATGGTGCTGATGAATAAGCAACACCTAATAAATTTTGAGATTGTTGCTCTTGTTGCAACTGAATTTGTTCAGGATGAACCTATAAATGATTAATATTGAATAAAAATTTTATATAAATTTAAATTGAACAAAAATCAAATAATTTTTACATAACATGCAACTTTAAATAACTTTTGTTGTTTTTACTTGTGTATGAGACTGTGTAGCTTGTATATTTTCTTGAGATTGAGTTTGAGCTTGAGCTTGCCGTAATGCAAATAGTTGCGCTAATTGTGTTTGATATATGTTAGCTGGTGAATAGCCATGTATATGGGGTTGTTGAAATTGTTGTAAATGTTGATAATAAGCTTGTGCATTAACTGGATCAATAGAAGCTTGATAAGGTAATGTAGATGCAGAAGAAACAAAAATAGGTGCAGTTGCATAGCCATGTGCGATAGGAAATATACCTGTGTAATAAATATAAGAATCACAATTATATTTTATAAAGATATGTAATATTTTGTATATAGTACAAACCTAAACCAGGATTTTTATAAGCAAGAGCGTTAGCAATATTTGGTAAAACTCTTTGCGCTAATTGAAGATTTCCAATATTGGAACTAAATGATTGATGTGAGTTAGGACCATTAAAAGCAAAAGCTGTTTGTATTAAACCTGGTCTAATAAAACTGAAAGACGCATGCTGATCAGAAGTGCCAAGAACATTTGTTGGTTTTACATCTTGAATGGATGATTCGGCATATACCGAAAAAAACATAATATAAGAAAATATAATATACTTCTGAAAATAATAACTTCTATAAAATACGCAATTAAAATAGATTATAATTAGAAATACTTACCAACATTTTATAACTTATAAAAAGTTTGAAAGTTTCTTGCTAAACAAATGACAATATAATCACTGATAAATATCAACACATTCTGACGTTAAAGTACTCTGTGGAGAGTTATATATCACGGAAGCAACTAAGTTGATACGTGAGTAGCATCGCATCGACATATTTTCGCTACATACAATTACACTTTCTCCAAGATACCAAAATAACAATTCATGAATAACAATCATTCAATATAGTTTTTCTTTTTATGATTAAATCAAATCATTAAAATATCATGCAATGATAAGATTTAAAAAAAAAATAAAATAAAAAAGTAAAGTGTTTATAATTTTATATCGTTAATAAAATTATTAATTGTTGTACATAAAATTTTAATAAATATTTTGTACATTTTAAAATATATACAAGATTTTAATTAAATAAAACGAATTTTTATTAAAACGAATAGACATAAGACAGTGAAACATTTTTGTTTAATTTGTTTGTAACATAGATGAAAGTTGCTTTCATTGACATTTCATTTCATTTGACATGCATGAGTTATTAATTGTAATCAATTAATCATGGATGGAATATTAAATAAATTATTTTACAGGCAGTGCTTTGATTTATTCATATTTTGCACACATAGAAGTCTTATTTATTTTTTATTGTAAAACATTTTTTAAATTTGTTTTGAAAATATTTTATACTCTTTTGTATTCAATAATTTGCAGTATTTTATATTACAAAATGTTCTTTTAAATTTTTATATAAACATTGCATGTTATATAGTATAATATCCAATATAAAAAATTTGCAATACAAAGATACAATTGTCTATTTGTAATTTTAATTTTGATATAATATTTATACATGTTATAATAATAAAATTTTTATTGCTATTCATATTATAAAATTTTTAATAATAGTAATTCCTTAATTCCTTTAAACAATCAATATTGTGCATACCTTAAATAGGTATATTTTTCAAAATACATCATTTCATTATGTTTATAAATATTTCAATGATTTTAGTATTGATAAATTAATCATAACATAAATTTGTGCGAAATGATTCTTTTTTATAATATTGTTTTACATGTTAGAGAAATATGATTGATAAAACATACCCATAGCGGTAGTTGCAAATAATGAAAAACAACTCCACCATGTTGCTAAACCTAATAATCCTCTATAGACATCCACAGTAAATATCTGTATAAAAATATATTAGAATTTTTTTTAAATTATTTCTCTTGATACAAATTGAAATGTAATGATTATATTATAATTTTTACCTGTTTTAAGGAACTTAGAGTAAATTGAAAATCTTGTGCTGCTTGCACAACAGTTTTTTCATTATCATAATTACTTATTACATCTGATATAAATTCTGGTAATTCATCAGCTGGGCATTCTTCAAGTAACGGTGCTTTTAAAAACCCTTCCCATGTATAACCACCTAATGTATAAAAATCATTATAAAATTACATGTATAATTATTAAAATATTCTATCAAAATTTATATTACCTAGAGTTTTATACATGAATGTAAAAAATAAACATATAATTATCGGAACGATAAATTGTAAAGCTACAACACATAAATAATAAAATACTGCAGCAATCTGAAACAAATTATAGAAAAGATTTAATTCTTTAATTCTTATAATAAATAATATATATATAATTCTTATATTAAATAATTTTTGATTAATTTTTTTTATTGTATGTATTTTTATTTTTTGATACCTTCTTTTGTAAATCTATGTTTGTAATTCTACCAGCTTCTTTTTTTTGATTTTCTAATCTTTGCATAGCTAAATTAAGATATGATTGTAAATATATTGGCATCAATAAAAATTTTAACAAAACTGCAACAATAATTGCAATTAATCTCATACTCTCAAAAGTTGAAGTTGTCATCCTATAAGAATTCATCTATAAAAAAATTGGATAGATAAATTTATTATGATAATTATTATTTTTTAACTTACAATGGCCCACTCATACCACTAAATATTCGAATAGTGAGATAATCTCTGCTTATAGGTTTAATCCATAAGCTTATTAATAAAAGTGGAGAAGCATAACTGATGTTTGCTATTAATAATAATAATTTCTGATCTTTATAATATCTGAAAAATATAATTTTTATTAAAATGCACTAATAAATCAAAGATTTATTTAAATTTACCTTAATATATCCCAATGCATTTTTGATATTCTTAAACCTGGAAAAGTAAACAAGGAACCAAGTAAACCACACCACAAAGCAAGGAAGAACTTTACTATAATTTTTGATGCAGGTCCTCTATAAAAGAAATATTATTTAAGAGTAAGATGAAAATATAATAAGAAAAAAATTACATAAAATAAAATATTATAAATCTTTGTATAAGTTTATAAAAGAATAATGTATAAGAATTATTATTTATAAAAGAAAAATGTTTATAAAAAACTTATGAATAAAACTTACGTAGAAGAAAGACCTTGATTATTTAAAAAAAGAGATGCACTATGATTGAAACTTGCATAAGCTTTATCCAATCCAATTTCAAGATTATTTTCATCAACAATAAAAATTGTCATAGCTATAAGAAGATAAGCAAATCCAGTTACAATACATGTAGATCTTTCACCTATGCTTTCTTCTCCTTTGAAATATTGTATCCACAAGGAAAGTAATACTTTACTAAATGCTAATTAAAGAAAATAAATTTTGAAAGGCATAATATATATTTGTAATAATACAAGTCAATAATAAAAAGGATACAATGCAAAACCCAAAACTAATGAGCACCAAAGCATACTTAAATTAATTTCATCTTTGATTGGATATAAATAATTATATATCTGTTAAATAATATTTAAATTACAATTATAAAATATTAGAGAAATATACATATAAATAGAAAAAAGAAATTTTAATCATCTACCTCTGTCATAACATAAACTGCAGTAGCATAAATAGAAAAATCCAATAACCACTGATATTCTGTATAATATTTTAAATGTACTACATCTAATATAGTTATTTTAGTATTCTCAAGCGTAATATCTAAATTTCTAGGAACATGAAAAACTTCTTTAACCTTTCCATTTTCTGTATGTTTGCCTTTTTTAGGTTTTTCTTTTGGTACACCAGCAAGAGTTCTAAGCTGCTGATCAGTTGGATACAAATAACGTGTCAACCTATTAAATTATTTATTTGTATATTATATATTTTATTTTTTATTAATTATGAATTTCATGTGCTTGTTATATTTATAATTTAAAAAATACCCAGTAGAACATAAAATCCATCTTGCTAAAGAAAAATGTGGAGTTAATTTTTGAATGACACTGACCATAATAAGTGTGATAACTAATTGAGCTCCTAAGAGAGCCTAAAATTTTTAAGTTTAAGCATTATTTAAATTTAAACATTAATGAATCTTTACTAAATATCAGATATAGTTATATATAAATTACCATGATTGAAAATGAGTAAATTAAAATTAAACCAAGGATTATTTATTTTACAGAAGTATTTGTTCCATTGTGAAATTGTGAAATAGAAATTTCTTGAGAAATTGTTAATTACTACTTGTCAATACTAAAATATATTAATAATAATGAATTATCTTATGTTTAACAATATTAAACTATATTTCACCATTTTAAATAACACACAACGAAATAGATCATTTTATAAATAGTTGTAACCTCACTCAAAACTAAAAACATTGTAATCTTTTGTACGGAATATGAGGTTAATTCCAGTTTTATCTATAGAAAGGAAAGTTCGACAATTGTAAAAACATCTAGCGGACAAATTTTGAAATAGATAATACCAAATTTGTTCAGCATAAAGTCAAATTTATTCAATTATTACATTATTACAAATACTATAATTAAATATATTAATTATGAAGAAAATATTTATTTTAGCATAAATCAGAAATATAGAAAAGACCTAATATTTAATAGAATTTTATGTCTAAAATATAGATCATACAAAAAAATTAAAATGTTTGATATATCCTGCTATGAATAATAAATAAATTTATTTCAGCTAAATTAAAATATTATGCTTATATTTTTTATTATGAAAATAATATTTAATAATAATTTTGAAGGTTTTTAAGATTATAAAAATGGATTTAAATATAATACTATTAATAATTTTTTAAGTAAATTTTAATAAATACTATGAATCAATTTTGTTATTATATATAGTGGTAATATACAATTGTAAATATTTATGAACAACAAAACATTGACGATTTTTAAAATTTTTAATCAATAAATTAAACAAAAGAACAATAAAATTAATCAGATATCGGAACTATTTTTTGTTCGTACAAATTTTGCAGAGCAAGTATAGTCTAAAAGAATAAATAATGGAAGAAAAATAGAAATACAATAAAATATTGAAATCAACATCGCAACTTTTAAAATGTTGCAAATAAAAGTCATGAAAAAAAATAGGAAATAGTACAAAAAAAATAAAAAATAAGAATTAATAAAATAAGAATTAATTTTCCTGAATATCAGAGACATCTCTTTAAAAAATAAAGTAAAATAAGAACTAAAGATTAACGCCATCTCTTAAATACTTTTAGAAAGATCCTTCTTGAAAGAAATTTCTTTGGCAAAATGATAATCAATTCTTATTCTATTTCTATCCTCACTATTTTTATTTTTTCTTCTTATATCACTTGCTTTCTCTTTTTATATTTGCTTTTGGCGCGTGATTTTATTCAATTGAAAAATGTGAAACAATGTTAATTAAACAAGTTCATATATCTGTTTATAAATTTCAATTTTTTCAAATGAAAATGAAACTATAATGTAAATTTACTTAAATATATTTAAATTGCTCAATATCATCATATAAATAATAACTAATACCAAATTAATTATTAATTCTATATACATATATATTTCCAGGATCTGATAGAAATCTTTCTTTGCAGGATTTCCATTTAACTAATTACATAATACTGTAATTATAAACGAACAATTTTTCCTTGAATTTATCATTTACATACTTATAAAATCAATCCTTAATCAATCAATTATATGATTCATTTGCTATTAAAAACTTTATCAAAGATATAATGAAAATCATTGTAAAACTGTATAATCTATGAATTTATATGATCTTTTAATTATTGATTGATTATTGATGGAAAGATATTATTTTTTTTACTTATAAAAAATATTTTGATTATTTCACATATAATATATTATATAAATATTGACTTTGAATCAACTATACAAATACAAATTTAACATATTCAACAAATACAAAAACAAATCTTTCTATTTCAATCGCTTATTTGGAGGAACGAACAGAGGAAACTGATATAAAAACAACAGACATCAGTTTGCATGATCAAATGGGAATAAGTGTTTACCGAGTGTAGACAGTGTAAAAGGATTGTAAGTGCTCGCGTATATTTTTATAATTTTTATAATCTCTTACTAAATAAAAGCAGAAAATGAAAACAAAAATAACTAGTGCAGTGATTAATATAATATTAAAAATTAAAAATGTTGTTAAAATCATATTTTTAGATATTTCTAACATCTAAAAAAAAATAAAATTTCTAGAAAAAAATTATGCTATTATAATTATTTATTATGCTAAACTTGTATTTATATATGTATTTATGTGTATATATTTATTGTATATGAAATTCTTATCAAATTAACAAATATTACATAAATTATTATGGAAATTTATATATTAGAAATTTATATATTAGAAATTTTTAATTTTTTGTTAAATAATTTGAATTTTTCTCAATAATTATTACCATTATATATAATATAATATAATATAATATTATAAATAATATTTGTAATAAATAATTAATTTTTCTAATATAATAAAGTTTATCGAATTGTAAAATTAATTTTTAATAATCTTGAATTCAGTTTAATTTCATTGAAAAATGATTTCATGATTGTTTTCAATGATATTTTGAATTATATTAAATAAATTATATTAAATTCATTACCATTCTTTTAAAAAAATTGTTTTATTATGTTAATTGTAGTAATTATATTAATTATTATGAATTATTATTATTAATTAATAATAATATTATTATTATATTATTAATATTATTATATATATTATTATTATTAATTAATAATGATATTTTGAAAAAAGTTGAAGAAAATTAAAAGTCGTAATAATTAAATAATATAATACAATATATCTGCAATAATGAAATTATAGCAAACAATAAATAGTATTTCAAGTACATAATCAATGTGTGACTAATTACCAACTTCAAACAAAGATTATTCTAAAACAATTTTATCTAATATTATTTATATATTAATAGTTAAAAGCAGTTATTAACTTAAAACTGTTCTTATAATTTTAAATTAAATAATTGAATTAAATAAAAAAAAACAGATTAAATTGAAATGATTAAAAAAATTTTTTTAAATCAGAAAAAAGAACAGAATAATTATTCCTTTAAATAACAAATTTTTATTAAATCTTATAACTTTAAAATCATGATAACTAAAAAAAAATAGATATTTTCATTGCAGGAGTCAGCAAATAAAAATAACAATGATGACATCGATTTTTGTGATTTCTTTTCTTCTATTTGTATTGGCATATCCTTGCCACACACAAAATGATTATATTAAATGTCAAACTAGTTCAGAATGTCGACCAAATCATTGTTGTACTTTAGGTATGTCATTTTGTAGAAAAAATAAATTCATTTTATATAAAAAATTATTAATTTATTTTTTAAAACTAGTAATTTTCATAATTTATTTATGTAATTTTAGGACCAATAAGATATAGTATACCACAATGTAAACCTATGCAAGGAAAAGGAGAAGTTTGTAGACCAACTAATGTAACATTTAATGTTACTCTTGGTTATCCAGATGGTAGTTTATTGAAAATAGAAGACGTACATTTCATTTTTTGTCCTTGCATTGATGGATTTTCATGCGAAAAAGGTGTTTGTAAAGAAAAAAATTAAAAAACATGATACAATTCAATTAATCGTTAATAAAAATTAGACAAACAAAATAATTAATGCAAAAAACAAGAAAAAAATTTTTTATAAAGAATGTATAAAATTGATAACAATAAATATATTTGATACAATAAATAAAAAAAAACAACTAATAAAAATAATTAGTGAAATTAAAACAAATTCTATAATTAAATTGTGATTTTCAACCAAATGACGAAAGTATTTCTAATTTTATTATTTCTACTTTATTATTATTATTTCTACTTATTATTTATTTTTTCTATTATTTTTAAAACGTAATAATTTCTAAAATAATATTAACAATTTTCTTATGAGAATTAAAAAAAAACCAATTTCAAACAATTTAAATTAAAAATAAAAAAATATAATTACATAATATTATGATTATTAAATGTTTAATCTTGTTTAATCATAATTAACAATTATTTTAAATATTCTAATATTAAATAAAATTTAAATAATGCTAAAATAAAGATAATAAAAAATATTATTTTATTGAATTTTATGTATTATTTGAACAATAATTTATTTTTTTTTGTCCTTGAAATATTCTTAATCGATGATAGTAACATTTTATTTGATATGCGATCTTATTTATAGAGTCGAACATCTTTGTTTCATTATGTCGGTGACTATAATTTTTCAGTTAAAATAGATAACCGCAATCGAGTAGGAATTTTGATGTTTTATTGCCAATGCAGATAAAAGGAAATATTTAAAAAATTGTGTATTTTACGATATGGACAGTCAGGTATGCGGAGATGGTAGATTATTAGATTTAATTGATGAGATTTGGCATAAAGAACGTTTGCCTATAGACGATATTTCAGTACCAATAGCAGAATTACCTGATCCTGAAAGTGATAATGGTGATTCTCATATGACATTGAAAGAATTAGAACAAAAGTGGAATAATCTAGCTTTAGGAACTCTCAGTGAAAACCATTTACATTCTCCAACACCTTCTCACAGTTAAATAAGTAATGGTTTGTAATATATAATAATTGAATATAACTAATATATTAATAATTTATTATATACTTCTTACAGTTAAATAAATAATATTTTGTATAATAATATAACATAATTAATATATTAGTAATTTATTATATATTTTAATTAAATAAATTATATTTTTGCTCATAATATATATGTGTGTATTCTATTATAGATTTAAAAATGGAATTTCCAAATATTGGAGCAAGATGTTCAATTAAAGATTGCAAACAATTAAATTTTTTACCATTTGAATGTAATCATTGTCATGATTTATTTTGCAAAGAACATTTTCATATATCTTCTCATAAATGTTTAAGTTTTAAAGATAAAATAACATACACTAAAATAAAGGCATCAAATTATAAATGTTCAGAGGAATTTTGCAAAGAAACGTCACCTATTGAAATGCAATGTATTAAATGTAAAAAACACTTTTGTGTACAACACAGATATCATGGTTGTTTAGAATATACAAATGAAGAAAAAACAACAAAGTTAAAAAAATGGCAAATACCAAAAAAACAATTTGCAGAAGCAAAAGCTATAGTGGATGAAGAAATTTCAAATACTTTGAAGAAATCTAAAAATACTGCAATGGCTAATAAAGTATAATATTTAAATAGAAAAGATTTAATAATAATATTTAAATAAAAAAGATATTATTAATATTAATTACTTATTAATCTACAATTATTACTTATAATATTATTTAAGAAATTTAAGTAACATAATAAATTATTTTAGGTAAGACTTATGCGTTTAAAGGGTTCTGCTGTTGGTGTGAAAAATATACCAATGAATGAAAGATGTTATTTTCTTGTATATCTCCCAACTACAATATCTAATAAACATATAGGACCATCAAAAAGTATTTATGTAAATATAAATTGGACAATTGGGAAAGCAATAGATTCAATAGCTGATATATTAAAAATATCCAATAATAATAATTTAACAAGAACATGTAAACTACAATTATTTCATTACGCAACTGGTGCATTAATATGTAATGAAATGAATATGTTATTAACAAAATTATTTGAAAATTCTGAACTTATTGATGGACAGAGTGTAATTTTAGAATATTCAGATAGTGCTTTTGTAGATTATACTTTATATAAATAAATATTTACAAAAAATAATAATAATAATTTATTTTTTAATTATTTATCTTTAATATGCTTTATTAATATGTAATAATTTATTGGTAAGAACAAAAGACAGTTTTAGAATAATATTTTGTTTATTACAAACTAGATAGTTTTATATATCAGTTTTACATTTATTTTTGATAAAAAGACACGCAGATGAATTATATATATACTTAATAAACAAATCATTTACACCAGATTATTGTCAAGTTTTTTTCAAATAAAATGATGACGATACTTTGACTTTGGCACTGGACGTATTTTTTTGTCTTATTTGAATTACACTAATACAATAAAAAATTAACAATATTGATTAAAAAATAATTAATTAATATTATATAAATAATACTAATTAATTAGTTTTATATTATATTTAATATAAATAATAATAAAATTATATAATAAAAAATTAGATGATAAAAAAGATATGTTTTTAACCATGTGCGTGTTTCAATTATATTGTTATTTTATTTCATTTTGTTGAATTAATCAATAAAATTATTTATTATGAGACAAAAAAGCTTTAAATACGCACACGGTAAAATATTTTCGAAAATAACTATGTAAATATATAAAAAATCATAAATCTCTTAGAATTGTATCTATTTCTTAAACTATAAAATGTAAGTCTTTTGTAGGATATTTAAAGGCTTGATGCTTTTAATACTTACAACACTACTATTAATACTTATAATTATATATAATGTGCGAATAATACATTAATTTTAGTGCAAAAATTACCAACATATGAAATTTATTATTGTTATTTATTTTTTATAAATTATATACATTATAAAAAAATTAATATTTGTTACAAAATTAATTGTGCTTATTTTAATATATGATTAATTATATTAATTTAATCAATCTTTTATAGTGAAAAAAATGTTTTTCCTCATATGAGTAATTTTTGCAACAAATTTGATATATAACTAAATATATATATTGAATAATATTGTTATTTAAATATTTCGTTTTGAATTTATTTAGTTTAAAAGCAACCAGCCTGTGATTGTTCAAGTTTTGAGAAAATTTCAAAAAAAAATATATGGCTACATCACTTAATACAATTTGTTGATGAAAAAAAGATATAATATAAATTAATAATGAAGAAAAAAATAAAGTTATAAAAATAGAGCATTATGTAAAAAATAAAAAATCATTGCTAAAATATAAATGAAAATTGTTCTTGAAATAAAAAAAAAGTTTGATAAAAACAAAAATAGAAATTATGTATACAAGAACCGCAATACTAATAAGTAAAGCCATCCGAATTTTTCCACATTTTTTAGTATCATGACCTCTTGATCGAATATTGGCCACCTGCCTATTGGGAGGAATCTGATAGCGGTAGGTGGCCTGAAGTCAAGCTCAGGAATGCCAACGAGACTTTTGCAATTCAATTTGGCCTTCTAATGTTTTAGCAAGATAAATGACAAATAATTGACTAAGAGCTATACCTAAAGCAATACCAGCTATTGTGTACAAATTGCGTTCTGCCCAACTTCTCACAATTTCAATGCAACCACTAGTCCATACTTTTTTACCTGCTTCAGAAACTGGTAACATTTGTACTTTATAGCCACACATTATATTCACAAGTCCACTCTAGAAATTTCAATATTTTAAATATGTTATTAAGAAAGTATTAAAAATACTTACTTATATACTTACTGATATATCTGTAGCATTAATGCAACATGAAAATGGTGCACCACAACGTTCTACACTAGGACTGGAACAATTGAAATATTCGTTCTTTCCCCAATCCAAATATCCTTCTTGACTTAAACCACAGCATCTGAACTGTTAAATAATTTTTTAAAATAATGCTAATTATTTAATTATTTAATATATATATATATATATATATATATATATATATATATTATATATA